GATTTGGAATTTAGAATCTTAAGTCAATTTCTCTGAGTTGTTTATGTTGGACGAAATTGTGTTTGCCTTTTGCGCACATTACCCTGACCTTAATGTCTGTTCTATATGATCTTTTGCTGAGGAAAAGGGAAGTGCAATTGCTTTCATAGAATTTTCATTGGCTCTGCTTATTGTTATGGCCCTCCTGGCAGCAGACACCAGAGACAAGCCCGAGAAGCCTATTCCATTCCTCAACATCTTTTATGAGTTCCGAGCTTGCACGAGCCCTACATTAACAGGTCTACTGCTTGTTCCTGGTTTCAAAGCTTCCTTTGTGCTTCAACTTCTCTCCTATGGGAAATGCAATGTTGACAAGCCTGAATTAGCACCATTAATTATTTGACCTGCTTAAAGTATTTAGGTAAACACCATAAGAGGGCCATTTGGATGGCAATGTTTCATTAGCAGTCTCGGTGCAGACTTGGGGAGTATGGATACTTCATTGAGAATGTGTAGTTATAAAATGTGGGTGATTATTTGTGCAAATTTGTCTGTGATTGGGTTAGCTTTGGCTTCTGTGTACAAGCACCCACTTTGATGTGCCTCGGATAGGTTTGAGCAGAGTGAGGAGAGAACTGAAAGAACTGAAAACCCTCTCCTGAAATACTTTTAAGATCAATGTTGCATTTAACCGTATTTTCTGGATGGTATTTCTGGTTACCAATTTTACTATAATTTTACTATAATTTTAATTCATGCTGCTCATCAGGTCTTGAATGAGAAGTGTTTTGTCAACTCAGAGTCCAGACCAGGTCAGGTTTACCTAAAAAGGCACAGCTGAGATTCCTTTGGCCTTCTAAACACAATCATCAAAGGAACCACCTTTTTGGTGTCAGAAAGAGCTTATCGAACCGATTCTTCACTCTGTAGCTTGTGGGCTTTCACCCTGCAGTTTTCTGTTATTTAGTAATGCAAACAACTACAAATTTCAAATATCCAAGGACAAGGAAACAGAATGTTTTTAACTTTTTATGTAGTCAATAGATCTTTTATCAACAGTCTTTCAGCAGGGATGCTAATCACATTCCCTGATGCAAAGACTGATAAATTATATATGTATGCCTGTCAAAGAGTTTTAGTTAAATGTTGCTAAATGACTCTAAAAGTATATTTTACTGGAAATACACTTAGTTTCCCCTTAAAGCTTAAAGTTTTAGTTCAAATTTCAAAAAAATGTAAAAGATAAACTAACACTGCTGTACTTACCTGCAGTGATGCTGAGCTGTCAGTTCCCACACAGCCCATACAGTGGTCTGGGGATTTAAAATCCTCACTGTTCTCCCTCTTTTGTGTGCAGTGCTTTCAGGATGGACCAAAGCAATTCTGATTGGTAGACGCCTGCACAATGAATTGCTCTGGTTCATCCTGGAAGCGTTGCACAGAGAAGAGGGAGAAGAGTGGGGATTCCAAATCCCTGGATCACTGGACTGTCTGCATGGGCACTGACAGATCATCACCCTTGGAAGGTAAGTGTAGCAGGGACAAGTGGGTGGGGGAGAGAGTACTGTGTTAATTCAATTTTTTATTTTTTCAGAAAAGGTGAGCAAACACTTTAATTACAGGAAGATTAAAAACCACCAGTTCATGCTGCTATGTGTTCATTAAAACAAAATCATCAAACGTTTTTTTTAAAAGCAGCTAGCATCTGAGTTTAAATTAGTATCAACCTCTTACAACCCCTTATACAGTAGAGCTTACAGTGGGAGAGGAAGAAGCAGCACAAGGGGTCAATTTGCTGTGCTGCAGTGTTCATGTGTTAACGAGTAAGATGCTGACTGGAGGCGAGCAGAGTGACAGAGAGAAAAGCTCATCACTATGTTGTTTTACCTAGTTTTATTATTTAACTACAGTACAGAAATGTCAGGTCTTCAGGCTAGATGTGATGTCTGGTAGGAGTGTGTAAATTGTAAAAATGAATGGAAGGAAATAAAAATCCTTTGGCATGTAAAACTTCTCTCGTACATGTATTTCATTTGTGTATATTTTCAAAAATTTAATTTACTGTAATAAGAAAAATTTAATTTATATCAGTTCTCAAGCAATCATAATGGAGTATACAGTATAATGATGATAATGTTTTACATTTTATGTTCTTTCTTTGTCATATTTTTGCTATTCTGTTTTGTATAGCAGTTTGTAGATCTGTATTTAGCACTCATCCTTCCTACTTCAGAAGATAAGATATAAGACACACAAGGCGTGCATTGTTTTCAGTGGGTTGACCAACTCAGTGGGGTTGGCTTACTAAAGGCAAATCGACTGAGCACTTTGCAAGTGCAGGTGCCCCTGAGCTTAGTAAATGAGCTAAAGCTTCACTTTACAAAGATTAAATCAATCATGTGCACGGAAAATATAAAAAACCTGAGTTTTTGCTGGCACATGATTGGATGATGGAAGTCAACAGAACTTCCCCTTATTTACTAAGTTCTGCAGTAAATGCTCTTACAAAGTGCCCAGTCTATTTGTCTTTAGTAAATCCATCTCACAGACTTACATAATGTGAAGAACCAGAAAGCACAAACATTGTGCAACACTGTATTGCAGAAAGCAGAGACTGAGTTTGCAATGAGTACATATTGTATACGGCTACCTCCATGTACATAACCAATTACAAACTATGGTGATGATTTTTAAGAAATGTAATATTATTCATATATATAAAATAAACCCACCTGAGTGCAGCCCACCTGGAGAGATACTTATCTTTATCCTTGATCTTGCGATTTCCACTGTGCAACCCCTGCAGCCCTTTACTATGGTTGTCAGCCCCACCTAGAGGACAAAATGCAGTATTTTCTTGATTCACTCTATCCTTTGTAAATGAATAACATTCAAGCTGGAGAGAAAATAGCTGAGTAACATTTGATTTTGTCCTGATTTGCACAGAATGGGGACATATAGTTTCATAGGATAAATAGCTCTGTACTTTTTGTTTTTTTTACATACACCCATATGGTATATATTTTTTGTAGAGGTCTACACCGCAGACCAGAAATAGGGATATTTGAGTAGTAATGAGTGACAGAGGGATTTGGTTTCAATATAGGGACAGCACAGTGGCTAAATGGTTAGCACTTCCGCCTGGCAGTACAAGGATTGTTGGTTCAAATCCCAACCACGGCACCACCTGCCTGGAGTTTGCATGTTCTCCATGTGTCTGCGTGGGTTTCCTCCGGGTACTCCAGTTTCCTTCCACACTCCAAAGACATGCTGGTAGGTGAATTGGCTACTGTCTAAATTATCCCTAGTATGTGTATGTATCAATGTAAGTTAGGGACCTTAGATTGTACACCCCTTGAGGGATAGGGACTGATGTGAATGTACAATATATATGTAAATTACTGTGTAAACTGACGGCGCTATATAAGTATCTATAATAAATAGGGACAGTCCCTCTAAATCAGGGACAGTTGGGAGGTTTGTGTTATTATGATTTCAAAAGTCATTAAGTATTCTAACATTTGCAGCTTTCATTAACCCCTGGGCACCGGAGTCTCCTGCCCCTTTAAGGTAATGTGATGCTGGGAGGCGGGGCCGGGTTCAGGGTCATGTGACAGCCATGACTGGCTGTCACTGCGGTCACATGATTGGAAAGCTCCTGACCGCAAGTAACGATTGGGACCTTTCTGGCGCTGGTGAATGCGCCGGGAGGGTGCAGGGGACTCGCTCTTGGCACATCCTTTGTTTACACTGAGTATATGCAGCGCTAAGGCCCAGCCCCAGAGTGGCCTCATTTTTGCGTGTGCTTGGCACCAAGGAGTTAAAATACCAACCGCTGATTCTGCCATGGAGGTCCTTGTTCACACACTTTCTGCTGTTGGGTGACAACTCCCTGTCCATGTCTCCCAATAGTGACTCTGCATTGTCACCCCGTCACATGGGCTTCTGACGAAGGTTACAGGTGGCTGTTTCAATGCAAATTATGGCTCACTGTTGTCACCATATGAGAAATATAATGTAGCAATTGCCTGGGATGCAGCATGCTTGTAGACATGGGGTGGCTGCAAAGAGACAGTAGGAGTTCAGCAGCACTGAGGTGTGAAAATGATTAAAAAAGGTAAAAGTAAGTATTGTATTTTAAAAAAGACTTATGATAAGTTACAGCGCTATAGCACACTAAACGCCATTTACTTATGGTTTACATCTGCTTTAACAGCAGACCTTTTGCTACATTTTGTTATCTGAAGTTGCACTCATCTGTGGATACGAGTTCAGTGCAATTCTAGCAAACATGGAAGCTTTAATGCTGAACCAGTTCTGGGTATCAAGGCATATAAACACGCTGCATTATTTTATGTTACCATATCTGCCCAGTTACTGTGAATGACATGCACACAGCCAGAGCACTATGCAAATCAATGTATACCTGGATATTTGACATTTGTTTTCTTCCTGCTGGTATCTTTTTCTACTAGGTACCCACTATCATGTCCGCAATTCTTGCCTAGGTGGGAATTACATCAACTTGGTGTCTCCATGTCCCAGGAGGCTGGGGGACCAATCTGACAGTGCAGCACGATCTTACGCATGTGCAGTGGTGAGCCGACTGTTAAACAGCAAGAAGTCACAACAGGCTACCACATCCAAGATGGCGGCAGTGGGCATCGGAAGCACCGGCCCCGGTGAACACAATGCTGGACTCCTAGGCTTGTGTCTGCTTCTTAAAAGCCAATTTGATTTTCTTAAAGCAGAGCTCCACCCAGAAGGGGAAACTCTGCTTTAAGTATTGGTCTCCCTCTCCCTGTTAAGGATTGGCACCTTTAGGGAGTGGGGGGGAGTGGGTACCCAAAATTGGCAGTCTCACTTCCGCTGCTATCGTCTAGGCGATCAGAAGCAGAAGTTGTCCTCCCCCCGGGACATATACCAGGTCCCAGAAGACTACAGGACCATTCACAAAGCATTGCGCTACTCACGCATGCGCAGTGAACACCCGGCTATGAAGCCGCAACCTGTCGTACCAGGTGCCCACACTGAAGATGCCGGCGCCCGGAACACAGGGCAGCCTGTGAAACTGGCTGTGCGGGGGGGGGACACCGCTGGGAGGGACAAGAAAGTGTCCGTTTTTTTAAAAGTACACAGCTACAGTTTGTGTAACTGCTGACTTTTATTTTTTTTATTTTCACTGGAACCCCCGCTTTAAAAAATAACAGAAGTTCCTCTTTAACACTTTCTTATAACATGCTATGCTTAATTCAGTTCCTCCAAATTTCCTGTTAATTTTCTTCAAATAAAAAGACCATGCACTAAAAAAAAAAGGAAATATTTTAGTTAGCCAATGTTATACACAATATTATCTAAGTAAACAACATGTACAAAATTATTTGGAAAGTTTTTGGAAGCTTAAGTCTAGTACACAGGATCAGGAAATCGGATGAAAAATACCGCTTTCAAAGCGATCTTAGGATAATCTGATCGTTGGCACACAGCTTTTGTCTGAAAGGGACAAAGACGAAAAATGTTTTCATACAATACCAGATTGTGCGATTTTCATTTAATCAGTACAGAAGTCGACTAAAAAAAAAGGAAGAGCAAAGCCACGCATGCTCAGAAACAAAAGAATACATTACAATACGATACAATATGTACATCACTTCCGAAATTGTATTCTGTCATGTGAAAATTTTCGTAACATTAGTAACCTCTTCATTTTTGAAATGAGACTAGCATGAAAAAAAAAAAAACGCACAATCATTCGTCCAATATTTTCATCATGTGTACCATGCTTTACATGAAGGTATCAGGACATTCCCTGACCCCAGCTGCACACACCAAAGAAGTGAGATGCTTGTGAAATCATTGACCTAACAAAGCCACTACCTCTTTGTGTAAGCGCAGCTATGGGGCGAAAAATGCCCTGGGCACAGTTGATTGGGCAGCAGTGGGCGCAAGTGTCAATTTCCTTCTGCGTGCAGTCCAATCCAAAATTCACACCTAACCCAAGGTCATCCCTAGTCACAAGGTGAAAGGCTGAAGCAGGGGCTGATCTGTGTCAGAAATTTGTTAACACAACCAAATAGCTTGTGCTATTTCTGAGCCAGCAACCAACTTCAGTTGGTAGATGTTGACCTGGCTTAATGCAAAAGCAAAGAGGGCTCCATCCTTCTGCAGGGAAAAGCAGATGAAAACATTGTCAGGGGTAGTGCTGTGATCTATATTGGGCAATAGATATCTGTAAGGCTAGCCATATGTGCTAAGAGTTTTCCCATTCAGCGCACGGGGCTGAACAATAGAAATAAATAAGTTCTATCCACACAAAACAGTGTGGATGGAGGAATCTTCCCTTCCAGCTAATGTATTCTGACAGCTACTGTACCCAGCAATCTGACTGACTGCAGTCACTGTTTAGCTGAGAATTTTCCATCAAGTCAACAGGGCCATCCACCGTTTGAATTTTCCTGCCAAATTATTTGAAATTTGATATATGTATGGCCAGCATAACTGTGCTGACTACTACTGGACAGCAGCCTGGGATGAGTAAGCCTGGGAGTGAGGTAGTGAGTTCACCTCAAGACAGGTTGGGAGGTTGTACAGTTCCAGGCTTCTGGAGCCCTCCCACCCTTCCAGAAACTTAGAGGCAGAGGAGGCCCAGATCTGTATGTTTGAGGGACCTTGGTCAATCTACAGGCAGGAGGCGGGCATGGTGACCAAGGACAACCTGGTGCAAGAGCCTGTGCAGCAGAGTTAGTTGCTGGAGTCAGGTGGAGGATGGACTGAGAGAAGGCTGGAGTGTGGAACCTGGGAGGGGGCCCCAGGGAGGGGAGCCTACTTACAGGGTGGTTGATGAACAGCAGGATCTTGACTGTTCCACCGCCTGAGAGGACATCCTGATCAGCAGTGAAGGAGCTAGCCCAGCAAAAGGCCTGAAAGCAGCTACCAACCTACCACACTGACAGGAGAGGACAGCGTGAGTACTCTTACACCCCCTGGGCAAGATAAAGGGAAAGGGTAGTAAGGTGCAAGACCCAACTAGTTCTCATCCGGGACTACTTCATTGCTAGATTTTGGAATCCCTTGGGATATCCTCAGTGCAGCCTGGTGTAGATATTTTTGCATATCTACATTTTGTACAGTGTACAGGTTGCTAAGAAGTTTGTCCTCAAGTTTACAGCTCCTTGCGCATCCCATATACCCCTAGACCCCATCCAAGCTGTTAACGCTTAATAAAAACAACTTAAAACTAACTTAAGGACTGTTTACTGACTCTGAATGTACAAGTGTGGAAAAATGCATGTTACCTGCCTGTGTAGTGCTTAGGGGGACCCAAACATATCCAGCGGCCCTCAAGAGGGTAGTGCTACATTAGCATGTATGCATTTTGCATAAATAGACAGATCTAAAACTAATGTAGCACCCTCCTAGTTTAGCTAAGGGGAGCTAGACTCCAATGGTTAGACAGGGGCTGAGCAGCAGCCCAGCTGTAATAGCCAGAGAGGGGTCAAATTGTGGTCAAGGCTGAGAGGCTCTGCAGGCCAGCCTCTCTGGAATTTTCCCTTTCTCTAGGGCTTTTGGAGAAAGGCCTTAGAGGCAGTAGCTGGATCTGAGGAGTGGCTGGCTGCACTTCTGAGGGGTCCTAGCCAATCCCCAACAGGCGGTTGGCAAGGGGCTGGACACCCTTAAAGTGCTGGGGCCTGCTCAGTGGCAGGAGAGTTGGCGGGAGAGTTCGGGTGGAAGATATGAGGTTGAAGGAAGGAGGCTGCGAAGAGGCCCAGTGGGATGGGGCTACCTGCAGGCCTGAAACTGGAATGGAGGAAATCTCAGAACTCACCGGCCCCCTGAGAGAGGACCACCTGTATGGCAGGGAAGGAGCAGCCCAGCTGATATGTCTGGTAGCAGCAACCAACCCACAATCGGTACGGGAAAAGATCTGAGTGAGTACATCTGCACTCCCTGGGTGGATAGGGGAAGGAGCACTCTGGTGAAAAAACAAGATTAGCCACCTACTAGTGACCGTTCAACTCTTAAAGTGACAGGATTCCCTGTTTAGAAATACCTCCAGATTTCTGGGTGAAGAGGAGAAGTTCATCTAGGGTCTGGGGTAGTACACTCACAAGACGCTATGCTGCAGAGAAGGCTTGTAAATAGTTCCAGGAAGTTGTCCTCAGTACCCTTGGGCATCTTGTACACCCCTGACCCTATCCCAATTCAAGATCCCCTAAATAAAACAGCAAAACTAAAGCTCAAGGACTGATTTCTGACTCAGGATGCAAGCTTTTGGGAAGATGTGTGATGCCTGGCTGTGCAGGACTACAGGGGGACCCAAATCTTCTAACAACTCCCAAGGGGGTAGTGCTACATTAGGTGTACTTTAAAGTAATTGTAAAGGGACAAATAAATAAACAAACAAAAAACAACAGGTTATACTTACTTTCTCTGTGTAATGGTCTTGCGCAGAGCAGCCCCGATTCTTCTCTTCTTGGGTCCCCTCCTGGGGCCGGCCCCCCGCTCTTGCCTCAATGATTGTGATTGACAATAGCAACCTTCTGCACTTCAGCATGCTCAATTTTGGGTTGGACTGGCCAGACAGCATTTCATCCCCCTTGACAAGTGCTATCTTCAGTTTGGGCCTACTACCACTGATTCTTCGCTGCATTGACTGTAAGTTTCCAGTCAGGTGAGCTTCCCCGCTGAGTAGTTGTACTGTTTGCAAGTTCTTAAACACATCAGTTACTGCATCATGGGCCTCTGTGTGTTTACTGCCGCCGCACCACGTTGCACCTACCTACATGGCTGCTGTTAGAAACCTCGGGGCCCCATACAGCCAACCTAAAAGGGCCCACCCAAAAACACAGTTTACTGTGCTTCAGTTATGATTGAACACAGTGAGTGATCATTACTGATCACTCATTGTGTTCATTCAGAAAAAGAAGGGCTGGATAAATGCAACATATTTACTGGACCCTACCCCCCACTCTCCATCCTGAAGGCTCCCAGTGTGTGTTAGCATCTGCCGGTGGGAAGCCTGCAGCACTGTGGGGGTAGAGGCATTTAGGGGGGCCTGGGCAGCAGGGGGAAATGTATGGTGCACAGTGAGGGTGATGGGTGTGGTAGGGAGGAAATTACTAAAACTGATCACCTATATGGGTGGAGGGAGAAGAGAAGAATCCGGCTTTCAGCTGCTGCAGAGAGAGCGATACAGGAGATCGATTCCAATAAATGCCCCCCCCCCCCCTCGGTGCCGATCACCCTCCCTGCCCACACCCGGTTCACCCCGCTGCCTGGGCCCCCCTGTTGGCCTGGGTCCCATACAGGAGGACTGGTGGTACCCCGTTATCCACGGCCCTGCCTGCCTGCCTAACGCACTGTATTGTAGCTGGACTGTCTCCCTTTATATTCTAACACCCCGGTTACACTGATCCGACTTTGAAATCGTGCGACTTCCAATGAAGTCACACAATTTCAAAGTCAGATGTTATTCCAACTTGAGGTGCAACTTGCAAAATATCTGCGGCTTGCAAGACACAGATGTCTATGCAAGTCGCACCTGAAGTAGTGCCTACACTGCTTTAGAAATCGGTGCGGCTCCAACCAAGTCCGAATCGCACCGATATGACCGCTTTAATTGCGAACAATAGGGTGCGACTTGCCATGCGATTTGCAACTTGCATGGCATGGCAGATTGCATGGCAAATCGCACCCGGTGTTACCAAGGTGTAAAGCACTGTGTAAACTGTTAGCACTATATCATTTTTTTTTAAATAAGAGGTATCTGGGGCTGAAAACACCATTGGTCCATCCAGTTGTAAATAGTGCTTAGCAAAATCTTCCTTTAAAATTGGCCCCTTGTGCTGTGCACACATTAGTTCTTGCAGGGATGTAGTGGAGGTCCCACGCATTTTATGAGACGGTACAGGGAGTGTAAATCCGACTAAGGATTCGGTCACAGTTTCCTGCGTCCCGCGTCCAGCGGTCTCCGAGGACTGTTGTGTAATGTGTACAGTACTTGACTTAAAGCATTTCCTGGATACAAAGCATAGTTTGTGTTCTACAATAAGTTACTATTTACCTTGTACCCTGT